TCCCACCTCCCCATGTCTTCCCCATGGTCACGCAGGAAGAACCACAGATTAGCCCTTGGGGTGTACCCTCTCTCTCTAGCTGGGGATTGTTGGGCGCTGATTCTGGGGCCTGTGACTCTCACGGGTGCTGCATTAACCTTCCTTATCTCCTCCCTCATCTCCTCTTTAAACTCCTTAATCACAGCTGAGATATGAGCCTGCATTGGGCCATTAATCATACTCTCATAATTCCTAAGTTTGTTGGCAACAGAGCCCACTGTCTCTCGGTGAGCGTCAGCATTGGTTGTTGCAATGAAAGTGGTGTATTGAGATGGCCCAAGATTTGCTAGACTCCACAGCATTTGTCCTGTACACCTGACCTTGTCAGGGTCATTATTGTGTCGTCCATCCCTCCCAAAGAGTACCTCCAATACTGCCACTTCCCTCAGCTGTTGGATCCCTTCCTTGAGGGTCTTCCAGCGCATTCTATGATGGTGCTCTTGCATTCTCTCTCTGTGGACAAACCTCTCCCTGACACTCATTAAGAGCCACTCCCAGAGAGAAAAGGGACCCTGGTTCCCTTACAAAAACCTGATTTATACCCGAGTCCTGGGTCAAGGGTCCCAAGTTCCTTGCCTCACCACCGTCCAGCTGCACGCCTGTACCCATAAGATCCCAAACCCGGAGTAACCAAGTAGTATAAGCCTCACGCCCTCGTCGCACAATGTCTTTATGCAGATTACGAAGACTTTCGTATGTCAGGGACTCGGTGATGATAGCAATCTCTGGCTCCCCTGTGGGTTGTGAGGTTCCTCCATTCCTGTCCCTATCTGCAGGGTGCTCTGCTTTCACCTTAGACTTCCTTGTTTCTACCAGGGCAACTGCTGCTGGCTGTGACTGCCTTTGTGGTTCAGCTGGAACCTGGACAGTTGTAACATCTGTGGGTTCCACAGCTGTACTATTAGACTGTCCCTCCTCAAGGCAAAGGGCCGGTTTCTCACCAGCTGGGGAAATGCACTCCTTCAGCATCTCTCGTATCTCCTTAACCAGAACCCTCACCCAATCTGGGTGGGTCATTTCTGAGGTGGGCTGTGGGGCAGGGTCAGGCTCTGGAGCAGCAGCATCTTGAGTCTCTGGGGCAGTGTCAGGTTCTGCAGGAGCATGCCTAGCCTCTGGTGTAGGTGTCAGGCTAGTTATCCAGGTTAATCTTCCCTTATCTCTGAATGCTAAATATAACAGGACTATCAGCAACACCACCCATTGTATGATATCATTAGCACTTAGAAAGGATCTTAACCCTTTGAGAACTGGTGGAGCAGACCCAAAAAGATGGTTAAAAGGTTGGGAGAAAGTTTCCCCAGGTGCTATTTCCTCGCAGTAGGTACCATTATTAAAGTAACCCCAAAAACATACAGTTAGTGTGTGATAGCTATGAATCCATGTACCTGCCTTCCAGAGGAAATTAAAGATCCATGAATTCCTCACCCAATTAACCCAGAAGCCAAACTTGATAACAGACACAGTAGCCTTAGTTATAGGACCCATTTTTAGATAAGGGTCTGCAAATGGGAAAAGTATAGCTACGATCACATGCCACCTAAACCAAGGTAAACTAGACCACATGGTGATGCTTAAGATGTTTCTACACACAACAAAAAACCAAATTACTTAAGAACTATTAATCCTTTTTCCCTCTCAATGCCCTCGAGCCCCATGTTGATGCGCCAAAATCTGTCTTGGTTTGACAAGACAGGAGTCTGTGAAGGAGGGCAAAGCCTCCTGTGCAATGGAGAAGGTAAACCCCCTCCCTCCGAATTACCAGGATTTTTAAATTAAAAGGCTCTCAGGCAAAGATATGGGAATGGGAGTAACAATTCTTTACTAGGAGAAAACTAGATAACAATTTAAAAAGGCAAATGCAATTGGTACAAACAAAACTAGTGATAAAGTCCACAACCTGAGGATTCGGGGTGTTGGTAGCAGTCCGGTTGAAATGATAGCTGCTCCTCTTGCAGTGGCTGATGAATTGCAGCTGAAGTGGTGATCTTTAGAAGGGTATAGTTTTCTCTGAAGATCTGGTGGCAGTTGGGCCGGTCTTCCTCTGCGCCGGGGCCGCCTCCGAGCTCCGCCGCCGCCGCCTCACCGCGCTCCGGCCGCTTCTCTTGGGAGTCCTGCCGAAGGAGCTGCTTCTCTGGGAATCCCGCAAAGAGAGCGAGAGCTGCTCTGTCCCCCAAAAGGTACCCCTTTATACAAAAAAAAAGAGTGCTTGGCTTCCCCCTCTGGGTGGAGCATCTCACAATGGGATGGTGTTATGTTACCAGCCCTGCAGTGAGTCAGTCAATGGCCCATTAACAAACCATTACCTCTTTGGAGCAAACCATTGTTCTTGGAAGATATAACAAACCTGCCCAATCTCCAACAGATGGCAAATAGAATACAAGTTTATCTTACAAACCAGGACAATTTTATAAAGCAGTCAACAAATATATAGACTAGAAATTAGATATTCTTTGTAATGAGGTAGGAAATTTTGATGTCTTGTGTGTCTCTTATAATAAATGCTGTTCTCTGTGAGAGTTGGTAGTTTAAGCTGTCTGGCCTCTTGTCAGTTGAATTCAGGCAATAGTTTGACCAGAGCATTAGGCTGACAAAAGGAAACTGCTCAGAGAATCATCTCTTTCTCCACAGTGACCCATGCATACCGATCTGCATCATGAAGTGTTTAGGAGCTCACCTAACTGATGTTAAAAGAAAGAAGTTCTTTCCTGCATTACTTTTTCACAGAATCAAAGACTTGTGATTTATTATTTTGTTGTGTAAAAAGCTGCTTGCAGTCAGAGAGATGAGACAGAATGAGAAGAGGGAAAAAAAGTCTGCTCCTCTCCATTGCAGCACAAGGTCTTGTGACTAAAGTTGTGCTTCAGCAGTCTTTATTTCATTGAGTTCTCTGTAGATTCTCAAAGTAACTAATGTTAAAACAGAGAGAATGTGGAGCAAGACCCACTGAGAAGCTCTGGGAGGGCTTTGCCAAGGGAGCCCCTGGGGTCCTGAGGCTGTGCACTGCACAGCTGGACCCGCTGTGCTGACCTGCCTGGCTTTCTCACAGAACGTGTCACCTCCCTTCAGGAGATCATGTTAGGAGCTGTTAGGCTGACCTGTATGACTTCTCTCCTGCATTATCCCATCTGTCCCAAGGGACAAGGAAGTGTTTGCTTGTTGTCATCACCTGTATCCATGACTAGGAGTCTTCTGGCCTCCAAGCCCCCACTGTGTTTAGACACGTGTTACAAACTTTGGGCATGGTATGTCTTTAATGTTGGTCATTCTTTCCTGCACCCTACACATTTTTTATTTTTTTTAAATAAATAAGCAGCCTATTCTTAGGCCATGTGTCATTCAGTGGTCTTTCTATAGGAGTGAATGTTAAAGTACGTTTATTGCCTCTGAATTTTCCTTGAACTGGTGCTGTGCATTAAAGTTGGTTGTCATCTTTCTTACAGGGGAGCTGTAGATGAAATTCCAGCAAATGAAGCTGAGTAGGCAAACATAATCCATTTCAGAAAAGTTTTGATATCAGAAAACTATGCAACTGATACTAGTTTTAGCCTGTTTTAGATATTTAGCAGTAGCTGCCTTAACTGCTGACAAATAAAAGGATTGTGTATGGCATTTGTGTAAATAGCACCTTGCTTCTACTGAGGGCAAGCATGCCAACTTCTGTATTTTGTGTAGGTCTTTGGGTCTGTAGATATGAAGAATGTAATATGTACTTTTGAGCAAATTAAAAATCATACCATAAGCTTATGATTACAGAAAATACAAGATTTTTGTATTTTTTAGTAAAGCTTGTTATGTTTGCAAGATTCATTTCAGACCAGTCCTATTAGTGCTGGAAGACTGTGCTTTATTTATTGATTTGTAGAGAAAATTTATACGTGTCCTCTGTATAAAGAGAATAGTTATCCTTTATTAGGAGCATTTTGTTTACAGTGATAATTTTTTACTAATTTGTAATGTAAGAAACAGCTCAGGAACAGAGCTATGAATCTAAATTTCCCTTTATTCTACTTTTATATGTTCCACATATTAATTTTCTCAGCTTTTGTCAACCACAAATATTTAATGCGCTTCGGTTTTGGCCATACAGCTGACTTTAATCAAACCTGTATTGATGCTGCTGATTATACTATGTTAGTTATGTACTTCTTACCACTAATCTTCGACTCCATTTCTAACCAAAAAACAATTCTAGCAAGTATTCCAAAGTCTAATGTACCATGGAAAATAGAATCAAGGTTGATTTTAGTTATTCAGCTTGATTAGAATAATGAAGCTGTGTTTCCTTTGTTTTGATACAACTCCTTCATAGCAACCGTAGCCTTAAGTTACTAAGATTTCAGTTCTGGGAAAGTATTTGTTGCAATGTTTGCTATGAGTTTAATATTTGTTTTACCAAAGTAAATAATTTGGTATTTCTGTGCTATCACCTGTGGATGTGTGTCACCTAGATAACTGAAACCTATAATATTTCATTATTTTCATTTTTCAGTACTCATGGGTAAGAGAAAGGAAGAAAGTGTTTTAACTCCTGGGTCCCAGAAAAGGCAGAGAAAAGAAAACACAGATGTACATAATGATGAGTCTAATGAAGAAGAAACATTACAATTCTCACCTAATAGTAGTGCCCCTTCACAGCTGGTAAGTATAAAAAGTCATAGAGATGAAGATATAAGAAAAGTTTTGTGCCTATTGAAATAAATGTCTTGGATGTAGGCATCAGTAGAAGAAAGTAAAAGAAACTAGGGATACTGTCTGTGGTAAGGACTTCTGCATGAGGTTATTATTTTTCTTTTGGGTCGTTTATAGTTATAATAGATGACAACCAATCATAAATGACAATATTCTGATTTAATAGAAGGAATACTACTGAAGATGCAAAGTAAATGAAGGAAATGGATTTTGATAGAACTGTGGTATGTTTAATTTATGGTTGTAGTAAAGGCAGACAAAATATTTGGAAAACTATTTTATTTACCAAAAGAAGTGCCAAATACTTGTTTATTTTGCATTGCTGACACTTTCAGATATCTGAAAAAAATCTAGTGTTTGAAATGCAAATTTTGATGGAAAAGAAACTTGCAAACAGGAATATTATTTTTTCTGCTTTTCTTTTAGTAGTTGAATTTTAGTTTGATAGAAGACCTTAAAAATTATTTTTGAGATTGCAAATACTGTCCTGTGTATTTAGACTGGACATTAGGAAACATTTCTTTACCAGTGGTAAGACATTAGACCAGGCTTCTCTAAGGGGTTGAACCTCTCTGGGTGCCAGGTGTACACCAAAACCACTCTGTCACTGCCCTCCTTTCCTAGACAGGGGAGAGAAAATACAACAAAATGCTTGTGGTTGAGATAAGGGCAGGGAGAGATCACTCCCCAGTGACTACTATGGGCAAAACAGACTCAGCCCGGGGAAATTAGCTGA